AATGCTAATTATTTACTAATGTAATACTATGTGAAATACATTTGTCTGTATAAATAAGTATTTTTTAAAAAGGTGGGTGTTTTAAAAGTAATTATTATTACTATTATTATGCCTTATTACCATAATCAGTTCATACAAATGGAGATGGAAATATATATTAGGGAAGTGGAAACACATTAACATTATTGCCTGCATTAGTCTAACTGACTAACTGTCTGACTGACAAGTAGTAGTTACTTACTGCCCTCATCTGAAGACAATAATAATGCTTATTCTCTTTACCTGTTTACTTACTTATTTAATATCTAAGGTTGACCTACTTAACTAATACTGATAATAGTAGTAATGATAATGCATTCATATGAAATAGTATGAAATGCATTAAAATGACCTAACACTAAAACATTACATTACATTACATATATGTATGTATTCATGTTTGACATTTAATAACAGACGGTGCTTATTTCTACGCTGTGGTTTTTTTTCCGTCACTTAGACAATTTCTACTGAAACAAAGCGTGAGGTTAAGTAACAATAAATTCTTCTCAAGAAAGTATATTTACAATTTAGCACATGGTTTTTATATATTTCGTTTGGCAGATAGCTAGGTCGGTGTTGAAATACTACGTGGTAAATTGAGAGATTTTCACTGGAAATTGTATATTATAATGTCAAAACATAAAAGAGTCAGTTTGCCAGCAATGAAGAATATCTAAGGATATAATTTGTTATTTAGAGAAAAAAATTCACAGTTTCAGGCGAAGATTATTCACAGTTCCTTTAAGACACCTTAAATGTGATCTGTTTGTTACCATAGATACCATTTAGAAGGGCCAATAGAAAGGATAATGCGGTGGTGTATACACTACTATTTTTCATTCCAAGGATAACATAGGGCTTCGAGTTATAAGCTTTGAAGTCCCAGTAGCGATGTCATAGTTTATTTATTCTTCCACTACGTGGGGTTACTAGTCTCACTCCAAACCTTTCTTCTTTGCTGGGTTTACTATTGGCCAGTAAACAAGGCGAGATTTAGGAGTACGTCAGTCCTGAATCACATGCTTAATTGTCAATTATTCTATGACAGTGTAACAACAGAAGACAAGGGCCAGGCAACAGATCGTTTGTTAAGGAAAATCAACACATATTTATAGATTTTAATGTACATTATTGTAGATTATTGTTAGTAGAAAATACTGTCTTTTGATTGGTTGTTTTTCACAGCAAGTTAACCTTGCATCTCTTTATGGCTGTGTCAGATCATCCATATGCTAACTGTATCCGCCTACGCAAAGACTTTGTTCTCATTTTCTCACCACCAATATTGGGGACATAAACGCTGACGTCAATTACTGTCTACCAACTTTGGCTAGCAGCCAGCTCTCACCACAACAGTACCTCCGATGTACACTACTGACTAATATTAATGGTTCGTAAGCACTGATGACACTCAAAAGATCTTGGGGTTTAGATCACCTTCAAATGGTAAGCAAGTACTACTGGTCGACATCAGTGGTTCCCGCCTACTCATATCAAGCAACTATACCTACTATCTTGTTAGGATCTACCAAGTTTACAATTGCTACCATATACTACTAATGTAAGTGATCAGTCAAGTAATAGTAGTAATATAAATAGGGAGACACTGGAAGTTTTCTTCAACTCTCTTCAACTAACACTATTCTCCACTTCACATGGGTTACACGTGAATACTGTGAATGTAATCATGAATGAGGGATGTTAAAGTATATCCCTGTATTCACCAATTCCAATGTACAAATATTTAGGCAATAGGTTTCAGATTTAGACAGTATAAAATTGCCTCTTCATGATTTCATGCTACTATATGGAGTCTATTGCATTAGAAATGCTTCGTTTTTGCTAATATTTTAATAGCTATCATTCACACTGGTGTATTTTAAGGTATGCTTTAACATCACTCGTCCTAAGTGAATGTCACATTTAAAATGTATGCCAATTTGTCATCTTTTTCTTCATTATAGTCTATACATCATGTAAAGACTTTTCTTAAAGGGAAAAATGTTTTCATTCCATTAATTTTACTTTTTCTAACGTCGACTACGGTTGTGTTGTGTTGTCTTTTAAAGAATAGAAATGTCGCATAAAAGTTATTGACCATTTAATTAGCAGTTTAAAAGTAATATGTTGAACATTGAACCAAATGGTTCTCTAATTAAAATGAAGTTATTTAAAGATTTCATTCTGCTTCATTTACAAATAAAATAAAATTGTAATTTTCAAGTATTGGTCTTGTAGAGGCTTTTGTTTGATTGATTGGGGGATTTCATCATGAGCTGAATTGGCAGAAGTTAGAATTCAGGGGCTGGTCATTGGAATGGGTCTCAGTGGCCTAATGGTCTACGAGCTCGCTAGCCTTTTAAACAGAAGGTCTTGGGTTCTAACCCCTACGGTGGTTGCGTACTGATGAAGAGCCCCAAACTAGGACGAAACGGCTGTCCAATACTCCGTGGTTGTTTTCCAATGGTTCATTAACTGATGTCAGCTCATGATGGGACCCTCCAACCAAAATTGTAATTATCTGGTTTCGTTGAGTAACCATGACTAAATGACAAATAATTCGTTAGATTACAAATTTAGGAGGAAAATATTGATGAAACCCGTGAATATTACTGGTGAATAGAATGATTAATTAGAAAAATACTGGTATGTAGACGAAAAAGTTAGGCTCATTTCGTTAAAAATAAACAAATCTACTTCTAGTTTATTGAAAATTTATCAAACCCGACTGAATTTACTTCATTTGTAAGTCAGATTAACTGGCTGATATATCAACATGGGACTTCAGTAAAAAATACATTAATTGGAATCGCCACATTTGGAAAAGTATACACAAAAATAGACAGTGGAAACGTAATCATGCAACCAAAAAGTATTCATATACGAAAGGATTTTTTCAGAGTATATTCGGTCAGGAACCGACATCACCTACAGAATCACTGAAAACTAGAGGATAATGGATAGTTGCTTCGTCCTAGTTTGGGAATCTTCAGCACTGAACACCAGTTACTCCACTAAAGATAGAATCCGTGACCGCCAGGTTACAATGCAAGCCAGATAACCATTTAGCCAGTAGAGTGGAGTTTAATGACCCATGAAGCTTAACTTCGCCAATTAAAGACAGGTTTCCTGATGAAATTCACACTCAAATTAATCCAAAATCAATGCAAACCAAAAAATATCTGAACGAAGTATAAGGCAGTGAGTGGATAGAAGCACAACACCAGCAAAGATTTTCGTTATTTTACCATGATTCCTCAACTGTCGATTGTTTACACTGGAGGATCCCCTTCAGTCAACCAGTCAATATCTATGTATTCCAAATAAAAAGTCACCGATTCAGTGAAGTAATCCGATGTCTTCTTTTGACCATTATTCACTGAGGAACACTGATAAACAAACCAATATGGAATTACTTACTACAACAGTGCCCAAGTTTTACACATATATTAATATAACTTATGATCTTTCTGTTCGAAGACTAATCAGTAAATTCACTTGACTTTCGCAAACTGACGCAAGATATGAAAATCATCGTATTTTCAATATTCGATGCGTGAAAAATGAAATCATTCCTAAATACTTATGTCTACGAGCTCCAGTTCCGACAGACAAAGTTTTACACTTACATTAATAGGAGGGTCGGGTTATTTTCTAAGCTACCATTGATGATCAACTATGCAGTGATACTACACTGTGCAGGGAGGCGTATTCAGTTCACATACTACTGGTTTCGTCTTCCAAAGCATGAGTTACTCTGGATGACATCATTATCACCACTGGGAAACTATCATCCAACTTTGGTTTATTCGATGAAGTCTTCTAGTCAGAATCATCTGCATGATAACAGACATTACCAAGAGTTAAATCTCACAAGACCCAACCAGGATGTTTTGTTGTTCTCCGAAATAGAATTGTCACCAACTGAAGTCTCGACACAGCATTTTGTATTTTATGTTTTCCGTTGCAAGAAACTGATTTAATTCAAATCTATTTACATTGCTATCCAGAAACGAAACAGTTGATCAGCAGGATGACTCAGTGCTTGGTTGACTGACATCCTCCTTCTCTGTTCGCTCTTAACAGGAATCACTGAAGACCCAATTTCATACCTACTTCACTTATAGACTAAGACAGTTAACACTTAGCAAATTCTAAACACACTGGAATTATTTTTAAATGATGATCAAATCATACGACATTCAAACTGGCCGAGGACATTCGTACAATCTACACTATTCCTGCAGCTAACCTGAGCAATAAACTTGTATCCTTTCCATTTCTGCAACTTTGAACACCTGTTTATCATCCAGATAAACTGAGAAAAGTGTAAACAGTTTTAGAGTATATACTTCGTCTCTTTGGTATCTAGATATATTACTGACGCGTAAAGATGAAGTAACCCTTCGAACAGTAGTCAAGCCTTTTACTTCTATACTGAAATTGCTTCACCAACCAGTTTTTCCAGTCTAGAATAACCTCTCAAGTAATTACATCTGTTCAGTGACTGATATATAGCTGAAAAATCGGTTATTGCCCCCTCACCGTACAGTTTCACAACATCCATCCAATAGTCATCAATAAGCTGGAGATTGATGTTTGGATTTATGACGAAATCGATATTGAAGTTAATTCATATTATTGTGCGTCGGTGGCACAGTGGTTAGGACTCTCGTCGACCATGCACATGGTCCGGGGTTCGATCCCCTGCCGACCCACACCTGATATCTATGGTCGGCCTGCAAAATTTGGCCTACCGATATCCATGCTGAAAATTCCATACATGTACCAAAAAATACGGTGTGGAATCAAGCTGTAATAAAAAAAATCTCATAATCTAAATATCAATATAATCATATAGTTGAGTTCTTTCAAACTACACAAAAATAACTGCATATTCATCATAAACAATGATAAAGTAATAATGAAATTAAATACTGTTAGTAACAATTACTTACCCATATCTTGAATAACTGCACCAAATGAACTGTCTGGTGAATTAGGATAGAAATTCTCACTCATTCCACTAATCATATTATTACAATTCGATAGGGAATTTCGTTGATTTAATAACTTATTAACACAATCATTAACGTTACCGTTATTATTATTATTGTTATTATTACCATTACTGAAAGTTATTTGCGTTAATGACGCCGTTGACACTGATGAAAGCGATGATGAGCATGGCAATGATGTTGACGTGGATGTTGATAAAAAATTCACAGGATTACATAAATTCTCATAATTGGCTATATTGTCTTCACTATCATGAATTAACTCCATACCATTACTATTATTACTGTTATTATTATTATTATTATTATTATTATTATTATTACCACTACAATAAACAGACTTCATATTCACCAAAGACATATCATCGATTTGATTCAATAATAAATTTGGTAGCAGACCTTTGATATCAGATTTTAAACTTTTCATATCATCACTGATGAAAGATTCATTATAATGATTATCATATTTTGATTGAGATGAATTTATACTACTGTTATTGTTAGCAGTAGTATTCGTAGTGTTAATTTTAGATGGAGTATTATTGCTTGTATTATTATTGAGGAGATTCATCTTCATTTGTTCTGACAATAATCGATTCATATTACAAATACTGTTACTATTATTGCTTGTATGGTTTTGGGTATTATTACAATTACTATTAATAGTAGTATTTGTAATCATGAATTGGTTATTTGATATAAGATTTGTAATATGAACGTTGTTATCACTACTAGTATGATTAGTATTACTAGTAGAAGTATTCGTTTGACTAGTGTTTATCTCATTTTCATTGTTAACAACACTATTACTACTAATATTACCATTATTAGTAGTATCATTATTACCATCATTATTACTGTTATTATCATTATTTAAATCATTATAATTGTCTAATTTAGAAAATTTATTCATAATTTGTGAATGTAATAAACAGTAGACTTGTTCATTTCTATAAGCGATCTCTTCACCAGGTTGTAATAGTCTTTCACAGATAACACAACGAAAACAATCCAAGTGAAATGTACGCGAACGTATACGAAATACTAAATCCATTTTATCAATTAATCGATGACATCCAGCACAACGATAAAGGAAAGTACTAAAAAAAGGAAAAGAAGAACAAAGAGAAAAGCATAAAGCAACAACAAGGCGGATGGTAAAAGATCAGAAAATTGTACTTATTCATAACTGACAATTCTTGGATTTCACGTAGTGGAGTATGGTAGCAGATACTCATTCCTGATATGCATTAAACAAATGCCTTAGTTTCGGTAGACATATTCATCGACTACTCTAATGGGGTTCTGGTTCGATTCCCTGTCAACGGATTCCGAAATCTCGCTTAGGCCTGTAGTAAACCCGGTAAAGCGAGAGGGTTTGGCATGCTTGGTTAGCAACTGAATTCAGTAAAAACAGAAACACAACAGCACTGTTACTGAGACTTAAAATCTCAAGCTCGAAGCTCTGTGTTCCGCTTGAGATGCAAAGGGATGGAAAGTAAAGCCAATGCTCTTTTCAGTGCCGTCAAGTAATTAATCATATGAAAATATATCTGTCAGTCAAAAGTTTTCATTTTATGTGTACAAAGAGCTGGAAAGTAGAAGCGAGGGAGGGAGAGAAAGAGAGGGGGGAAGACAGACGATACATATTTATAAAATAAGGGTCTGACATGAAAACATGCTAAATGAAGGATGACAGAGTGAAAAACAAGAAACAACAACTAAATCTATAAAGTCTATGATAAAAAGGGAAAAAAATATTTCTCTGTTTCTTTGACTGATTGACTAATTGAAAGTGAAAAGTAATAATACAGGAGGATTGTAAAACTATGCTCACTTTGTTGTTTTTTTCCTCTTATCCATTCACTCATTCTCTCTCACTCTCTATTTCTCTCTGTTTGCCATTCTCTCATCTTCAAAGTGAGCATGTTGGTGTATGTGTATGCATAAGTACCTGTATGTCCTCCTATTCTATTTTTGTCTGTCGAACTATTGTGGAGGCTTCTCTTCATCAATTATTTCTCTATGTATTAAGGTATTATTTATTTAAAGAATTCATATTATTAGTAGTAAATGTTATGTAATCATAATTCATTAGTGTTCATTCATCCGGATGCGGGTAACTTAAACAGCAACAACAACAACAGTAATAATAATAATAACATCAACACGAATGAAGAAAACATACGAAATAAGGCAATGTGTATATGGATGGATATATTACTAATCACACAAAATGAACAGTCCTATAGTTTACCCCTATTCTATGAATACTTACTGATACATACGTTAAAATAAAGTCATTCAGTAATTATTAATAATGACTATTTTATTCTAAAAGTAATGCTTAAATGATTGATTTATTTTCAAGTAAAAAGAAAAAAATAGAAACCCAGACAACTGAATGATCGAATTGAAAGTACAGGAAAACTGTCAATTAAAAAAAAAGACAACAACAACACACGATTAACTTCTTTCTAGGTTAATTTGTATTTCCCATTGATTACTTCTGCTACACTGAAATGTCCAGTCTCTGTTGACATACTGGCTCCTAGTACGGTTGCTTCGATGATGTCTAAGAATTAATGTAAAGTTATTTTGGTTAATGATAATGGTTAATGGTAATGGAGTCTAAGATGCGCATTTCGTCTTATTTAGGACTCGTCATCTGGATGAGTCTGAATTTCCAGTAAGTGATGGTGTTTGCACTTAGACTCACACCGTGCACCTGTAGTTTCAAACGCCAAGGCAGTATGCACTAGGGCTCGATCCTTAGTGAGAACTCCATAATTCACTTGGAATGCAGGTACGTTCAGCTGACAAACGCTAAATAAGAGGAGTTGCATATCCTGGATTCCATTGCTAGTCACCACCAGCCAAAATTACAAGCAACTAATGTTCATTTACCGATGAAATGTCTAATTCTGCTTCTTTAAGATGACTTTTATTACTAATTGACATCATTTACAAAATCACTGGTAACCATAGAGCAATAGACAACCGTGCCATTTTAGTCTAGAACTCATTAGCAATACGAACCCAATACGGCACTCCCAGGATGTTTGACTTACGAGGGAACTCTGTTATTCTTCAGTCAAACGAATGGAATTCAATAATCTATGCATCTCAGTTTCTGTTCATTCACGAAATAGTCTTACTGTCATTTAGTTTCATAGGTGACAATCTCTGCTTATGCTAGACTTGGTGAATTCAATCGAACACAACTTCTGATTACAAATTCAGGAATTCCTCCTCGAAATGAACTATCAATGTACACTAGGTATTTAAATATTATGTCTGACAGGATTAGAGCAACTGAATTCCATTCCTTCACACTCACCTCGTTACCTGAATATCCTGAAGTGAGACGATGGTTTTGAATTGTCGGAGTATCAAATACTTATGATAGATTTATAACTATAGAGCATAATGAAGAAATTATTGAAAATAATGCATCATTTTGCTTTGAATAAATAACTACAGGAGGTCAATTATGATCCCAAATATCTCAGTGATAATGTTTCGAACTACAGTATTGAGTGATGTTGATCCAGATCTCAGATATACACCTTGGTGATGAGTGTCTCCTAGAAGCCCAAAATCTAGCCCCAAAGCTTTCGATTGATTGCTTTCAACCACCTGACTATGCTTTTTTGTTAGGGGAATTCAATTTACGCACCTAAGTGAGTTCAAATGGTACAATTCTCATTTGCATTGAAGATAAAGATACCGATGAGTAGTTTACACATCAATATAATTCCGAATATCTAAACGATGAAATGATTAATTACACTGATACTTTTATGTCACTTATAGCTTCCTCCTTTCTTCTCCCTTTCTTTCTTATTGAAATTTATAGGGAAGAATAAAACTTTAATGATAATTACGACGTTTCATATAATTAAACTGTGTATTTTATTTAAATAAATATACTACTACTACTATTAATTATCACTTGAATAAACAAATAAAAAAACTTTAAAAATGAATAGACAAAACGGTATAGAAGATGTGGAAATCTATTTACACCAATTTTTGCTTCCACACCTAAACTTGCAAATTCACCCCCTAGCCCCTCCCCCTATCTGTCTGTGTGTCTATCTATCCATCTATCTATTCATCCACCTACCTATGTCTGTCTTTCGCACCCTGATAGACCCCTTTATAGAGTGGAAGAATTCGTTATTTACCTTTTTAATAAATAAAGTAAGGGGAAATTAAAGAGTACCAATGTGATATTCTTCTTTTAAGGGGTTGGGGGAGATGTGTAGGGATATGATTTAGCCTTAATTAATTCAATTACACGATTGTTTCACTTTCCATCCCTTTTTATGCAAAAAAACAACAACAACACCTTGGAATAAACAGAAAAATAAGGAAAGTGATAAATTGTAAAGACATCAATAATGACTTTAATGAAAGTTATTCCCTTTTTGGTCTGGTTTTCCTTAGTGGAGGGTAATGATCAATAAAGAATTGAATTTTTTTCTCCCTGGTTAATGACAGAAGCATTTCTTTTTTATTTAACGGAAAAATAAGGTGTGAATAAGTGGAATATGTATGAATACTATCAGTAACTTGACAGTATACCTTATAGTTATATAATGTGTAAACATGCATATCTCAGAAAGGCTCTAATTACTAGTTGAGAATGTTATACATCAATTAGAGAGTCAATAAAAACACTGGATAGTGTTTTTTTGGTTTATTCTTTTGGATATTTGTCTAACTAATATCTAAAAGCTAATAGAAATCTATGAATCTACTTGCTTCCACGAATTATAACATAATGTATGCATGAGAAGAAGGTCACCTTCTTTGTCTACATTGATTTCTTTGTCAACTAAAAGGCGTCTCGGATATAGAACTCAACAGTGGAGGCATGCAAAAGAAACTTTAGCTGACTGGTGAAGTGAGAATCTACGTCTAGGTAGAATTCATAATTGCTAATTTGGAACTATACTACTACTAATACTACTACTTGATATCAATTAAAGCAGTTAGCAGATGGGTCTCATAGTTCAGTCAATAGACTGACTATAGTAGACGTTTTGAAACTATTTGGTTTGAATCCTACTGTAACTGCCACACTTTCAATTCAGTACTTAGGAATTGTGTTTTCTTTCCTTTGGAAATTCTAGAAAGCGGCTGTCTGCTGAAAAATTAAAATATTAGTAATGGGAATCGGTGAGTTGGTCGTCCAAGGATGACTTGGAGGACGTCATGTGAAGAGGAGATGAAAACACGTGGGCAGACTTGGAGCCAGGTGAAGACTCTAGCAGAGAACCGAACGCAATGGAGACGCACGGCTGAAGCCCTATGTTCCTCTAGGAATTAAAGGAAATAATTATAATGAAAATAGTTATCCATTAGTGATATTGTAGAGGTTAGGTAAAGTGAAGTATGCCAATTTTAAGTCAATTGTATCAACCACAACACGGACTTAAAAATCTTCAAGAACTCTGATAGTTGTAAATTAAATCCTACCTAGGGTTACATTGGTACATATAACTGACGGGTTCCTGATTAATAATAAACAGTTGCTAACTCTTTTTTATTTTTCAATAGTTTTGTCGCTCATATAAGTTTGTAATCATTATTTATCCATTTAAACAGAAACTTGATATAATATTGGTCACCAAGAAATGCATCATACATTTCAAAGAGGACTGAAATACTGTCTGGGCGTACAAACCAAGTTATATGGTTGACTCAGAGGTCTACTGCCCGAGTCCTTAACTTGTATTCTGATTCACAATACTGCCAAGTATCATCAGAAACTGAGTTCCCATGGTTCGAGATCAGAAATTTCCAACTCTGTAAGGTGAATACTCTATGCTTACTAGTCTTGTGGCAAGCGTCCAACATTCGTATCAGCCCATTCACTTTTATAAGGATATATCCTTACGTCAAAGTGAAATGTCCAATGAAAGTGTAAACCTACATTAGGTTAGTTCAGTATTCTTAAACTAACCTGTTATCAGTCGCAGATGAATAGGTTGTCAAGTGATCACGGTAACCTTTTTTCTGCATTTATTACAAATAAGTCTTGATACTGACAATAACTCGCAGCTGTTGAAATTGTAGGGATTTAATCAAT